AGCGCTGACTGGCAGAACGAACGGGGGAGGGGGCGGGTACAGCTGGCTCTGCCTCACGCAGCTGGGCGGATCCAGACATAATTGTCACCAGCTGCGGCGTCTCAGTATACCGCGAGCTGTAGCTCCCTATATACTGAGCCTAGGGTGACGGGAGGACGCTAGTTTGTGTCCTCCCGTTACCCTAAGGAGAACTATGGGGAAAACACTGACCCCATAGTTCTCCTTTTTAAAGTTCCTGTAAATTGTGACATTTGGGGGTTTTATTGTCATTTATAACTATATTTTCTTTTTTGATGGGAGTTGTTGGAACCTTTTTTGTTGCCATGTCTCCGCCTCCACTAGGAAGCGTTGTTGGATTGGGGATGTTGGGGGGAGTAGTAGTGTGATTCTCATCTGACTCCTCTGTCCTTGTCTTGCAGTTGGTCCTCCGTACTGCCTCCACCTGAGGGTGAAATTCTACTCCTCGGAGCCCAACAACCTGCGAGAGGAACTCACACGGTCAGTGTCCCGGGGATTGTGGGAAATTCTGATAGAGGTCATCCACCTGCAGCTCGCTGTCCAGGCAAAGGTTGTGCGGGGGGGGGTCTTTGTCCTGAAGGCTCCGTAGCTTTTAGTTCTGTATAATTGGCCCTTGTAGACGCTCGGGAGTATAAAGTCAACTTTCTGAAAAGTCGCTTCACCCTAAACCGGCATTCCACAGAGTCCCTTATACTTACCAGGCTGCCCCCAAGGTGAATGTGAGCAGAGATGTTTGTTTTCGGTAACCGGGAGCATGACTTGTGGTTACCTGTAACCAAAATATCAGCTTTGGGTGGATAAAGCCTGTATTGGGCAGCTGTGGCATTCATCTGTGTGGTCACCTCGCATATCCTCCAGCATGCTGGCAGTTTATTATCGCTTCGATGGCGGCCTGGCATCTCTCTGGGGCCGCTGCTCAGTGACACAGCCAGCGTATCCCAGTGTTACCCCATTAAGGTTTTATTGGCCCCTCCCATTGTGCTCCGCCATGAAGGGACCAATTTATAGGGTCAGCGCTGTGTTTATAGAGGTGGAAAGAATCCTGTGTTATGTATAAAGGAGACTCCTCAATGCAACGTGATGGGAGGTTCTATATGGCTGACGGTGCCGTCTCCACCCTGTTGTGTAAAGTTCCCTCAGTGACCACAAAAGACGGGCTGGACCATGTGGACGATATAAATCATTTACAGGTGGAGCTGAGGGAGGAGGAGATG